GGCTTTCTGGTCCTTTCCTACAGCTCAGATGTGCACAGGAGGAGGCATTACTCACCCTGAAGCTACAGCACCGCCTTGCCCTTGCATCAGCAATCACATCCTCGCCGTGTTTATAAATACCAAAGCGAATTGCAGAGGCTGGATGAACAACTCCAGCACGTTCTCCAAGTCCTCCCACACTAGAAAATAATTAGGCACTGCAAAACGAGGGTAGGATATGGCGTGGCAAGTGTTGTAGGTGAGGGGGAGCTCTGCAAAGCTGTCCCAGGTCAGGCTGGAGTTGGTGGAACTGGCTCAGCCCTGCATGGGCAAAGCACAGTGTTTGGATGCAGAGGTTACCATCACCCATTGCATCTCCACAGGGAACCTGGGAAGGCTCAATCCTGTTTACATCATGTCAAGGTTTCCCTTCAGGAGGGAAGTTACTAAACAGCCTTTCAGGGAGCTGAGAAACGCCCCATCCCAGGAGCTTGTTCAGGAACTGGGATGGTTCCTGCTCTGTTTTGGATGCCTACATTAGGATTAGCTCATACTCCAGTAGGACGTCTTGTCTTATTATAGCCTAGATTCCCAGTCCAGGGCACAAATCTTTCCTGCACAGACATCTACATGCTGAAGCGACTGAGAACAGATGCTATTAAAGCACATTTAAGCAGCACACAATTGCACCATCTATATCCAAATTTTACCATTGTCCTCCAGGGACTGAGGACAACAGCCTGAAGCTGGAGTCAGGAGCACACCTTGACCAAGATACACATCAGGAATGGTCATTTGACATGCTTAACTGGAGGAGAGGAGGATAACAGAGACATCCCCATGCTCAGATATTGCAATGACACATAACACAGCTCCAGAGGCTGCTCCAAGCCACACCAGCACCCAGCTTGAATGAGATCTATCACCCCACATCCTCCAGGCATCCCCCCTTTTGCCTTAGTTACCAGCAGACCCAAACCACCCTGTTCCAGAGCTCTCCTTGGGATCTCCTACCCCAGCATCCCTCTCCCCTCCCTGATAACCTCACTCTTCACAGTGCCAAGGACCCTTTGGCTTTGCAGCCTCTCAGCAGCCCAACCTAGCAATGCTTTTGGTAGCTGTCAGAAGTCCCCTTTGCTTCCCACCACCCAGACACAGCACTTGAGCAGCCACCGCACATCCTGGGGCATGTCTCACTTGGCAGAGCTGTCCCAAACCACCCTTTAGTCAAGTAGAAACCCACTCAAAAAAGCCCAAACCCTGGAAAAAACCCTTTTATAACCACCACTGTTCTGCAGACAAACCAGACGCGTCTCCAAGCAACAGTCCCCTCACACAGCTCACACATTTGAGGTGCAGAACACCACCCCCAGACACCCAAACAGCCCTTCCACCAGCCCAGAGAGCCCGAACCTGGTACCTCTTCCCCCGCCGGCTTCCCCATCCCCTGCATATGAGTCCACGCTCACACAGAAGCTGATTAAAAGCTCCAAGAGAGATCCTTGAGCTCCTGGGTATTTATTTTTCCTGTGAGCTGCTTTGTCTGTCAGAGGACTTGAAATATGGCTGCAGTCACAAGTTATTACCTGAGCTTCCAGGCTGCAATGCTTTTGCTTAATAGCCATACTGGAACTGCCTGCTCTCCTTACTGTGCCTCATGCCGAGTGCTCACAGCCTTCCCAGGCTCAGGAAGGACAGCATTC